CCCCGCGGGGGAGCGGGGAAGGCTCGGCCGCCCCCCTCCGGCTCCGGGCAGCGCGGGGCCGCGCGGCCGCCCCCGAGGATGTTTAACCGGGCCGTGAGCCGGCTCAGCAGGAAGCGCCCGCCGTCAGGTAAGGGGGGGTAAGAGGGCGGGCAACCCCCCCGGCCGCTCCCGCCTGAGGAAGAGCCGCCGGCAGGGGAAGGGGCTGCGCTTCTCCCTCGCTCCAGACCTCAGCGTCGGGGAAGGAAAGCGCGGGCGAGCCCCCTCCCGGCGGCGGGGGGTGCTGGCCGGGAGCCGGTCTCCCGCCCTTTCGGCTGAGGGGAGCCGAGCGAGCCCGCGCTCCTCGCCCGGCTCCGTTAACCCCGGGCCGCGCCGGCTCCTCCGCCCGCCTCGCCGGTCCCCGCGTCCCAGCGGGCTTCAGCTCACCCGCAGGGCGGTTCGCCTTGCTGCGGACCTGTCCCTCCATCGTCAGCCTGGTGCCCGGCGTGGCGTGGCGTGGCTCGGCTCTGCCCGGGCTTGCGGCGGACCCGCGGGCCGTGTTACCGGCGCGATGAGCTGCATGAACCGGCCGTGGCTCGGGAGGGAAGCGCGGTTCTTCCCGCTCCGGCAGCTGCGCGGAAGAGGGAACTGGGTTCTACCGGGGCTTATGCCTCATCAGCCGAATCTTGATTGCGAACCGCTGCCCGCCGCTGTTGTCGGTAGCGAGGCAATAGCCCGGAACATCAGAGCGTGATGGTTCCGGCTCTAAACTGACTTTGAGGAGTTTGGAGGGAGCGTCTTAAACCGGGAGTTACGGAGGCGTAATAAATGTAGGACTTCACAGTTCCCCCTGCAGACAGGCGCTGTAACGTGTTCGTGCTGCTACGGGGCATCTCGTGGCGCGGTGCCTCTGAGGCTGTAAGTCTGTCGATTCCAAGGGGGTAATAGGTATCCTTGCTAAAACAGTTGGGGTAAAAGTTACAAACTCGGAATTCCAGAAAGTAACGCTACGCTTTATAACCTACAGTAAGAAGTTACAGTCTTTCTAAGAAAAGCCAAATGCGGTGTTTGTCTAGAGTTGGGCTTTTTTTAAAGGGTATATGTCTGGTGAACGCTTCCAGAGATGCTACAAAAGCGGAACGTCCCTCTAGTTTCCTTCCTTATAGTTAAAAGTGGAATCCAGTAGCCATCTGTAGTTAGAGACAGTCAAAAGAGGATGTTGAGGCTCATGCTTTGAACAACCAAAGCATGCAAAGGACAGCCCTTCTGTAGTGAAAAGGTCTAAAATTTAGCTGCTACTAAGAAAAAATTGTTGTGTGAGGATTCATCCAGTGGCGCTTGGAGACATGGAAAGTAAGGGAATTTTCCCTTTTCAGCTGCCTACTGACGAAGTTGCCTACTCTTTCATAACCTTGGATTTATTAATTCCAGACTGGTGATTGTGGCTGGATAGGCATTCTGGTGACCGTAGGAAAAGACAAGGTATTCAGAGTACTTTTAAAGTAATAATAAAGGTTTGTGGCTCGCAGCTTTATCATCCAGGTGAAAAAGGGGGAAATGCAGGCAGTGTGATCAGAAGTTCTTCAAGAAGAAATCGAGAAGGCTTTCTCTTAATGTTGTATATTAATGTTTAAATACAGAATAAGGAATGTGCTATCTATATGGTGCTTTTGTCATATCTACTGTTTGTGTGCCGGTTGTCTTTTGTTAAGGAGTTTGCAAAAGGTGTGTGCGGGAAAGAGGCAGTTGGAATAGGCATTTAGGTTCCATGCAACAGGATGCTGTGAAGCGTGTGAGTCTGTGCCCTTTGAGACGGTGCCATGCAGGCCACTGCATCAACAGTTTGAGAATGACAGCAGCTTGGGAAACCGTTGTGGTGCGTAGTCCTTCTGGAAAGCAGATGGATTAGCATGACTGACTCAACTAGGTGTGTCTGAATCTCTGAAAGTTTGATGGGTTTCCACACTCTTTTGTGCTTTTCGAAAGCAAGGGCCGGAACCATGAGTTTTGACTTGCAAAGTTGTATATTTTTATGTTATTGACTCCTTCTGCGGTTTCAGTCCAAGCTCCTGTTTGGAGAATGCAAATATTTTCCATTTTTGATACCATGCTTCAACAGATAATTACAGTGTTATTAGTGCTGCACTTACTGTTATATCTATCGTTTACAAAGAGCCTTTATCTGCAGTCCAATGCGGTGGTACTATTGTGCGATGGGGGAAGGCAGCTTCTATAAGATTCTTCTCTAAAATAATGCTCTAGCTAATGTAACTGCCTATTTGTTGGCTTGGTATGGGGTTCTTCTCTAAAATAATGGTGCTATTAAAATAAGCATGTAATCATTTACTGCTTTTGTAGAAGCAGCTGGCCACTGCACATCATGCAAGCAGTTGTGTTATGGTTGTACACTCAGTGGAAAGTTTGCTTCAGCAGAGACTCTACGACTGTGCTCCGCTGTGCATGCTTTGTTGGCTTTCTCTGCCTCTTGGTTTCTAACCAGCATAAAAGATAGCAAGTGCTCTCCTGTGACAGAAATGTAGTTAGCGTATTTATCATCTGTTGTACATTCTGTGTGTTACTTTTACAGAAATATTGGTGAAGAGCTGCCATTTTGTAATACCCTTTTTGATGCATAAAATTATCTCAGTTTTCAGTAACAGCAAATGTCTGCCTTCCTCATTTAAATGATCATACTAATGTATACATTTTGGTTGTCAAACGTTGGTATTGAGCTTGTTATTTCCAGGTTTATATTATTTAACTTTTTCACTGATGATTTTAACAGAAGAAAGTTACCTTTATAAATAGCAAACAGAGATAAATAGGTTTCAGGAGGGCCATTCATGTAATTACATTTATTGCGCTATTGCCTTCTAAAATAAATTGTTTCAGACTTTCATTAAATTGTATTTCAGTGGAAGTATCATTTTTAAGGTAGTTTAGCAACGTGTTATGGGATATGGACTTGGGGATAAAAATTCTAGAAATCACACATCAAATCTGCTAAATGAAACCAGCATGTGGATTGGAAAGTTATGATCCTAATTGGGGGAGGTCACTTTTGTATTAGAAAAAATGTTTGTGATGATGTATTTAATGGGATATAATAAAAATACCCAGCAGTTCTAATATCCTTGTAAAATTTCAGGGTGTTGCCTACTGTCATGTGCAGCCTATTTACATTTGCGCTGAAGGGCAATGTTAATGTTTTATGGTGGTTGCAAAGGAACACTGAACATGGGGACTAATGGTGCTCAGCCCGGAGGGAGAAAGCCTGATCAATGCCATGCCCAGCACAGAGACCTGAGCCCTCCAGGACTGTTGGCACATTCCCTGGCATCGCTTTGGCCCCTGCCAGCTGTGTTGCCCCCAGCACAGCTGGCAGGATGGTACCAGCCAGGCGATGTCCCCAGCAGGCTGTCTGGATGCAGTTCCTGTGTTTTGGGGGGACTGCTCAGGACAAGAGCTGTGCTGCACTGCCCGATGGCAGGATCCAAGAGTGTTCTCTGGTCTCTCGTGTTTATTATGTACAAGCGGTCCGAGGGTCTGCCTCCATTGCGACACTATGGTTGGTGTCCCCTGCCTCGGTGTGGACTGATGCTGGGAGCTGTAGCCCGGGCTGAGCTGGGATTGCGGCTGCTAGTGGGACCCATGCCGGCTCGGCAGAGCTGCCCAGCGCCTGCGACATCCCGTAGCCTCTGCTCTGGGGAACTGCAAGCTTGAATCAGTGAGGCGAGGGCTAAATGAAAGGGTTGCATTGTATGAGCAATGGACAGGCAAGCCTCATCTCAGTAGCACAGTACGTTTTGGGTTGTGGGCAGGTGGTTAAGTGAGGAAAAAACTGAGCAACAGAGTCCTGTACACCAAGGCTCAGCAGAACGGACATTAAGAAGTTGTGTGGGTCCTCCCTCCAAAACGAAATTTTTCTCTACTAAGGCCATTGGAGGAGAAGGTAGGGAGAAAGGAAGCAGGGTCATAGGAGAATGCAGGGTTTGGAGGGTGACAAGGAGGAGCGGGGGGGGGAACGTAAACAGTGGATGGAGCTGGGTTGTGCTGGGTAGGCTGGAAGTGAGAGGAAGCTGGGGAGAATGGTGATTAGGGAGGAGAGAGAATGGCCAGCAGTAGAATGAGAAATCAGCGAAAGCAGCTGAGGGGAAGCAGATCGATGTGTCCTGGGTGCGTGGAAGCACTTGTTCCGGCCTTTGTCTGCTCACCAGAAATATTTTTAGGTTCTCATGGCACTGGGTCTGCCCTGTATTGCATTGGCTCATTGAAATACATGCTTTTCAAAGTAATCATTAATGTCCACTTAAAATTTGGCTGGAAAAGAAACACTAGAAATAAAATCTCACTCACATAAGTTCTGTGCTAAATCATATATAAAATAAGGGAATGGCCTGGTTCTTCAGGCCATTAGCAGCTGTACACATAGAGCTGCCATTCTGTTTGGAGGTGAGAGTGTGTAACGAGATTCAAGCTCCTCAGAGGTAATTGTGTTCTGCTCCATTGTACTTGGCTATTCCCACTTAAATCTCACAGATTTTACTGAGATTAGATGCCCAGATACTTTGAGTCAGTTTCCTAAAATAAATTTTGCAAGCAATAATCAAGAACCACATCCTTTTGCATGAGGGGAGGGGAAACTGAGGCACGGTTAACTCACTGTACTTGTGTCATGTATGAAATCTTCTGTAGTGGTTTGGAGACAATCCTCAGGTTCTGACTCGTGACCTTTAGCAGAGTTTTCTTATACAGAGCTGTAGGTACACTTGCTGCTTTGGAGACCAGTCTGTCACACTCCTTACCCAAATTGGTTATGATCTTGGATCCTGAAAGGTTTTGTGCAGGCATAGAGTTGTGCATTCATTGTGTAAGAAATTTTAGGTTGGTGCTGTAACTGCATCATAGAGTTACAGCAGGACAGACGAAAGAGAGACAGGATTTACACATGAAAAATGTAGTCTGCAGCGACCATTTGCTCAATCATTTTAGATGCGTTCCTTCCTTTTACGTCTGTATTTACTTGGGGCATGAGTATAGATCTCTCAGTGTTAGGCAATGGGTATGAAATCCACGGCTCTGGAAAGTTTACCTCTTTTCCAGCTTTGTAATTTCTCCTGTATAAAAAACCCTCATTCCTATCAAGGAAGGAGATGTTCATTCATTTAAAACAGTGGTCCATCTCACTGTTAGAAAAACAAACAGACTCTACAGGTCCCTACCAACCAAAACTCAGTAGGCTTTGCTGTCTGTCGTGCCAATATTTTGTAGGGCTTTAACCTTAGCATTTATCATTCTAGCTACCGGCTAAAAGGGCATCTGATAGTATAGCTCTGCATAGATAGTTTTTTGAGATACTTGCTGAGGTTTAGTTTCATTGGGGAGGAAGGGTTTTTTAACAGAGCTTAAGCAGAAGTTACTAAGATCCACATTTCCAATAAGCTGCTGGGAGAAACGAAGGGATTATAAAAATAAATAGAACCTGTATTGATTACAGTAAGAGTTTTGTGCGCTTTTCCAGTGTGTAGTGACCTGAAGTGGAGCTCTTAGCCTGACTTCTCATGGCCTGCATTCCTGCTGTCTTCCCTGGGCATTTTGGGTGTGAGAAGAAAGGAGGCCAAGTGCTTTATGTCTGTTTTAGAGTTTTTCAGGTCAACAGTAATATTCCTGGAATCTTCCCAAGTAATAGGTTTTCTCATGGGTAGCCAGCAAACCATTTTTTTGGCATCACCAGCCTTGGATGTAACATACTTGTCCCTGGGATAGAAAAATTCAAAAATGTATACCATCTCTCCTATATGTGAGAAGGCTGGCTGACATATAAGATGTTGGCACAGTCCAGCACACCTTATAAAAGCAGAATTTCAGTGGACTTGAAAACAAACAAGCAAATGGAAAAAACACCCAAATACCACTTGCCCAATAGCAGGTTGACTCAGCTGGAATGAGGCTTCTCTGCCAGCTGTTTTTCCTCCTGTTAGACTGGGTTAACATATTGGACTTGTTCTCCTGCTAAACAAAGCATTATTTTTCTTTCTCTCATTGCCTTTTCCCAACCTCCAGTCATGATTCTTTTCTTAAAAATAAATTTCGTGTCTGTGACTGACCAGGATTTGCTTTGTAGAAGCTAATGTTGTTGACAGTGCCAGAACAAAAGGCAAATGGTCCTTTTATTACACAGGCTGCGGTCATTGTGTTCCATGTGCAAAAGGTGCTTGAACTCCTATAAAATAGTGACAGTGCCTACTTACATACTCATGAATTATATAACTGCAGGGCATTTTTGCCTCCTTATAGGCAAAGAAGAATTCAAATATGTGTGTGTGTTTATTTTCAGTTTTGTGGTATTTCCTTTAAGGAGAGCAGCTGTAATCCAAGGATGCAGAGGACAATGGGGAAGAAATGTATGTGACATGCATCACTTCTAACAAAGATGGTGTTTTTTTCAATTTTTTTCCAGAGATAAATGACAGCGAGGGTCACCCAAGCAGCAGCCATCAAACCTTGAAAGGAACCTCAAAATGGGCTACATCACTGGAGAACCTCCTTGAAGATCCAGAAGGAGTGAAACGATTTAGGGTTGCTATATTAACTATGGATATTTATATAAACCAAAATTAGGATTTAAAGCTGAATGAGACTCAGCATAAATGGTGCAGGTGTGCCAGTGCTGAAAGCACACAGGCATGCATCCTTCTAGATACCTACCCTGAGCAGAGGTGGCAGAGTTGGAGCTGTGGCATTTGCTGAGCTTCTGAGGTAGTGCCTTTTGCCCACTGGCACTGCAGCTTGCTGTCACGGAACATGGCACGTGGAAGACTTTTGGTTGCATCTTTCTAATCAGATCTATCAGCTGTTGCAAGGATTAACAAGTTACTGTTGGATAAACTACAGTCCTTGAGCCACTGATCTCTCTTGTCAAGCATTATTTATCACTGAGGACTGATCCTGCGCTCTTTATTCTCATATGTTGTCCTTACTTAAGCAAAGGGTTACCACTACCAGCTCCTCAGCCTGATAACTCTTGTGTGGCTCTTATTCTGTGTTGCAGCAGCTGTACTGAAAAGAATTCCCTTTACTACAAAGTGTGGGCTTGTGCAGCTCAAAATGCAGGATTGAGGCTTAATTAGGTGAGGGTGGCAAGTTGGTTTCTCAAGGCCTTCTTGCCATATTAGCTGTAGGAATAGGAACTACCTACTTGAGTATGGTTTTGCCATACCAAGCAATGATAAAATGCGCTGGGTTTCCTGCCAGACTGTTTTGAAAAGTGATGTAAACTAGAATTACAAAACACTGTGATTAAGAATTCTTTAAAAAAAAAGTAATCTTGATGCTATTTAATTCTTGGCGTTACTTAATATCTCTTTTCTAACACTTGAAAGAGAAAACTGATGATCCCCGAGCTATAAATATTTCAGTCATTATGTTTTACAGAGAAATTTAATGTAGATTTTTTTCCACATTTTAAAACATGCCTCACTTTTGGAGGAGTGTGCTTTGTTTAAACACTGTCTAGAGAACGCAAATACGTCTTCTGCTTTAGCTGACTTAAGTGAATTTATTGCCACTGATGATCCTGTTTAGAAACACTTTTATTTGTAGAGATTTTACTCATTAAAAAATCAGAAAGATACTAGATGAGAATCTCAAGTGATCTGTGACTCTCATTAAAATAGTTCATTATACTCACCTGCTAATGAATTCATATACTTTTGGATCTCCCTTTGAGCAATGACTGTAAAATTGCTCGAGTTATTTAAGGGAGACTGAGAAACTCTTCTTGTTAGTTACTGACACGCTCTGAGATTAAATGTAGCTCATCATTCTCCTGAAATGTGCTTTCAAAGTGCTGAATGTATGATTGTTCATTTGTGTCTTGGTAGTGTGCAGATGCACTAATGCAGTGGTTCCGTTACACTGTACTATGTAAACTCATACCATGGTAAAACTAGCTGTAGGCAGCTTATAGTTTTAATAGCTGTAGTAGGAAGAGAGAAGAACAATTGAGAAATTGGATCCTAATGTTTGTTTGTTTGTTTTTCTTTTCCCTAGGAATTTTTAAAGAAAGAATTTAGTGAAGAAAATGTTTTGTTCTGGCTAGCATGTGAAGAATTTAAGAAAACACAGGGGAAAAAACAGGTATGTTTCCTAAATAAATTTTACTTGTCAACAAAGTTTCCCTAGCAGAGCTGGAACTATAATGTTTCTGTTGCATAAGATGCTTCATTTGAGTGCAAATAAATATGTTTGAAGGAATTGCACTGAAAGCACGGTGGTGGAATTGTTTGGAAACAAAGCTGGTTCTATTTCAAACCAAAACAAAATGCTGAAATTGTCAAGTTTCCCATGTTTTGAAAACTCTGAACTTTTTGTTGTTGCTTGGGAATAGCAAAAGGTTTAATTCAGTGATGTTGCATCATCTTGCTTGAAGATATATTCATTCATGACGTTTTTTAAAGCATAGTGGCTATTACATGAAAATATACACCATTATTATAAATTTAGTGGAACATAAAAATAACAATCAGTGCAAACAAAATGTTTTATAATACCAAAAAGAAAAGTTTTGCCTTATCAAATTAAAAGTTACAAAACAAAAGAAGTTGACTGTCCATTTAGACTTTTTTGTTTCAATATTTATTCAAATTGACATATACCTGCAGAGCATTTTTGTTTTCATGAAAGTATATTTTTCTAGTAGAAAATATTCTATTGGAATGAGCCACCTCCAATTTTTTCCACTGCTTGGATCTTGGTCTACATTTAGATCCACCAGGAACGCAGGATCCACTTTCCTATTTAGGCTTTGAAGCCTATAGAGTCAGGCCTAAAATATGTACTGTGTTTTGTTTGATTGTTTCTGAAAAAATTTTTGTGATTTTTTTCTTTTTTTTTTTTTTTGAGAAATTCCAGATTTATTTGATCTTTGAGACAAGGATTCTGTGAGCATGAAATGAAGTAGTTTCAAAATTCCAGCTGAGCGTCTCCTTGAGAGTCAGACTCCTAAATCCCATAAGCCCTTTTTTTGAAATCCCACCTTTATACTTTTCACATGTGTGCAGCTCTTGTTGCCAAAGGGAGCATTTTAGAAGGCAGCAGGTGCAAATGTACAGCCCCTTTTGCACTCTTCTGGCCAAAGTAAGCAGAGTACCATGAGGAGCTGAGGCTGGGAAAATGGCACTTAAATCTGCTTCAAATGGGACCGTAAGTGCTTTGACTAACATCAGAAATGGCAGGGAATAGGAATCAGGTGGGGGAACTGGGCTGCTAGGGGTGTTATAAAGTGCAGGCGTAAGAGAGCTGCATCCGGACTGCGGGATTCCTCTCTTAAGGTCAGTCAAATATCGTCAGCTGAAACTGTTTCCCAGTAGATTTTCAACAAAATATCCCTGGATTTTCAACAACACGTATTTTTGAGAGGGGAGTCTACTTTCTGTAAATGTTCTCTATTTTACACTGAAAAAACAATTTGCTTGTTTCAGTTGTGAATATTTTTTGGTATTGATAACTCTATCAATAATACAGAAATAATAATTTTTGCAAGAAGAGGAAAATGTTCAATTTGACTGCACACTTTGTAATATTTAGCACTGTTTCAGCTTGGCGTATTTAGCTACTTCCCTCCCTCATTAAGGTCCATGCGTGCAGACGCTCTTCAGAAGAGAACAGCTAGTCAGGCTATTTTTCTGTACGATGCAAGGCCTAAAGAGAAATAAAGTAAGTGAGATGGGTTAAAAGAGGGAACTGTGCTAGATGCCACCATGATGGCAGCAATATTGGTAGCTGGAGTGAGGCCAGGAGTTCTTCTTTCCCCTTGCGTGTAAGGGAATGTTTCAGCCGCAGCCTGTCTGGGTTGCACTGGGAGCCACCTCCTGTCTGGGCGAGCGTGGTTCCATCAGTCCCACTGACCTGGCCCTGCTTCGGCACAAGCTGCAGATCTCATTATTGTGAATTTGTGACAAAGCATTTCCTCTCTTTTGTCCCCAGATGTCCATACAACGTCTTGGCTGGTATGTTCGATATGCTGGGCTGGGGATCTAGGTATTCTTGATCTCTCTCCCTAGTCCATTAAAATAATTTGATTTCTGAGCTGGTGGAGCAGAAGCCAGCATCACAGTCCACAGCCAAATGGGAAGAACCCTTTGCTTTGTACAGGGCAGATGTTTTTTCTTTGTATGTCGTACAGTGTCCTTGCCAAGAGGTATGTAGCTTTTTCTTGATACCCCTTGGACAGATATCAAATTGCATTTTAAAGTGGAAATGAAAGTGGAAAATCCTTCTGTAAGGTCCCACATTTTGCAATGGGATAATAATCCTATTTTCCCTTGCTAAATAATTTCCATCTTTTCAGCTATTTTAGGATTGCGCATGCTAGTGCAGGAAATGGTAAACTGTTGTATAGAGACAGTAACTTAATGAATTCTTGAGTGAATGGCCAAATGAATGGACAGAGACTTAACTAGGTTCCATTTAGCTTAATTATTCAGTACCAGTCATTACACAGTATGGTCAATCTGGAGTCTAGTACTGCCAAAGCTATTACAGCTGGCTAGAATAAATGTGCTTTAGAATGACACAGACTTACAGTAAATTTTTATAGCTACTGCTTATGGACGGCTTTATCTAGATAATTTACAAAGCTAGAAAAAGCACTAAAATTAGAAATCTTTCCAGTGCTTATAATAGTATGAAGTATGAATTTGTCTGCTGAAAGCAACTCTTGCAGAAATCACTTTGTATCTATCTAATGTGAGCAAAGTATTCTAAAAACAACCTTATACTTATTTTACAACCTGCTTCTCATTAAAACTGGTTTACCACAGAAACTAGCTTATAGACACTTAGACTTTTGGTCAGATGAAATTGATTTCAATTTAACCCAGTTCGTATGAGATTTTTTTTTTCCCCATTGTTAAAGTAGAAGATAAACTTTTCAGTACTTGACATGAGAGTGTTAGCGTGGGGTTTTTCTTGGTCAGTTTAAACTTTCACAAAGGTCACCGTCTGGCCAGTGGATTAAATATCCATTGTGCCTAGTGTTATTGTCATCCCTTCAGTGTCAGCTGGGAGCAGTGTTTGGTTTTGTATAGGCTGCTATACCATTAGGTATAATGTTATATATTAGGTATAGTATATATAGCCACTGTTAGGGTGGTTGGCTCAGTAAATGTGCTGTCCTTCTCTCATGTCCTTTCTGGTCTTCACAGGTAGATGCAGGCTCACCCTGCTCCTGCTTTTTGTTCGTTGCAAACTGTCTAACTGTTAGTGCTGTTCTGAGAAAATATCCTGGGCCTTTCCTAACAGCTTATTAAATTTGGTTCAGTTGTTACTCTAACCACAGTCACGTGGGCTCTGCCTAGAAGCTGACTTATATCAAGCCAACACAGGCAGATCTTGCAAGATGCTGTGCAGATACATCTTCTCTGTCCCCTTCCTCTTGAACGTGAACTGCTATGCAGCCGGGATTGCTAGATCACAGGACAAGAGGGAGCACCGGCAAGAAGAAGCCAGGCCCTTGACTGTTGTGTTGGCTCTAGACTAGTGGTGGGAGCGCTTAGTCAGGAGAAAGCAGAAATGTAGTTCAGACCAGACTGCTCCAAGAGTTTGTGTTTGTTTTCCTGTTTGGGTGAACTAATAAAAAATGCATGCATATTTCGGGGAGCAGGGGAGATTTTCAGCATCTGCAGAGCTAGACACCAAGCAGACTACGTTACTGGACTAGGCAGGTTTTAGATGGACTGGATTCAGCCTATCTTCTTGCAGTACAGAAGCGCAAACTCCTCCCCTCAGCTCAAGACATGTCTCTGTAGTTTTAAAAAAAGGATATTCTTTCTTCATCATTCCTTTAAAATTGAAGTTAAAATAGAAATCTAATTTTTAGCGAAGACTGAGGAAGGAATTAGGTCAAGTCCACTTGTAGCAGTGAGCTCTGCTGCCACCCATATGGTCCTCATCTGAGGACACATTTAATTATTGGAATGGGAGTGGTGGGGATAAGTGAATAAAATGTAACTTTAAATATTTTATTGGAGTTAGTCATATGCTGTTGCGTTTGTGACTGTTAATGAAATAAACAACGTCCATTGTGCTACTTCCCAAGGTTTAAGTGTTTCTTCTCTTGCAGCTGAGCTTTAAAAATAAATTACAGGTTATAATAAATGCTTTAAACTACAGGGAATCTTTTCAGCTATTGCTAAAACCCACCAAAATACCCATGTCGAGAAGTTTTGTAGAGAACAATGTCAGAACAAAGTATACCTATTCAAGAGTTTCTTTTGCCGCTTCCCATGTGTAATGTGGCAATGGTTAAGCAGAACTGGGTAATGCTGCACAGCTGCTAACTGCTGGAGCCTGTTCTGATGAGCATCTGGGAGTTCCATTCACCTCATTTGGGAACCACACAGGCTTGAGAGCTGAATTTGACCTTAGGAAAGGAAGTGGGAAAGAATATTGTATCCACTTGAAATAGTGAGGGGGATTTCTGTAGACAGAACTTTGTACTCCAAATGGGAATTTGGCACGGATGCTGGGGTGAGCGTGCAGATGTAAGTGAGAAGTGCCAGAAATCCTTTAATAACCACCTGTGAACAAGATCCCAGTGTAAGTGTTGTTTAGATTCCAGAGTCGAGTCCCCTGTGCTGAGGCATTAGTTTCAGGCTGATGCAGAACAAAGAATGCCGCCCACTGAATGGGGAACGTTGCTGCCTCTTCTCCCTGAACCTGGCTCTCCCTGAATGTCATTTGCAGGATGCATAAACATACTGGCAGCTTTAACTGTACTTACTTTAAAAAAAAAATAAAAAAAGTAGTTAAACTGATGCTCTACTACTGAAGCGTAGATGTGGAGTAACAGTTGTTCCATGTGGAGCAGAACCTGTAATGTTTGGCTATGCATTTCCATATTTACTATAAAGCCAGGTCCCCTGCGCCTCTCTAACAACCCCCTCTCCCTACCAGAGTGCTTTCGCTTCCTTTCTTTGTCATTCTTCCCTGCAAAATCCAGAGATCCTTCCCATTTTGCCAGCCTCCCACACAATTCTCTTGTTCCCCGCCATGTTCTTTAAACTTCCCCACAGTACTTCTAGTTTCATGTTTCCCCTCAAGCCTTGCTCTGCTCTTTTTCGGCAGTGCCCAGCTTGCTTCTGTGTTCCTTGAGCCAGCAGCACCTTGTGTTGTTCCTGAGATGGAGCTATGTGTGCATTGATTAGCCAGCTGCTAAGTACATGCTGGCAGTTCAAGCAGATGACTTTTGAACATATACTGCAGCTTCTCCCTCAGCGCACACACTGCTTTTTCTCTCCTTTTCCTTTCTCTCACCACTTTTTTCCATTGAATCAGTAGGAGGGTAATTATTTCGTAGTCCTTTGCCCTTCTCTTAAATATGGTTCAATTGGACAGCAGGTTCAAAAGTTATTTAGGTGGGACTGACAGTCAGTACAATCGCTTATGCTTGCTCATGTGATAATAGCTAAAGGTACCTTTACTGTGTCTGCATTAGGGTATTAACCTTACCAGTTAAAGCCATGATAACTCTGATCGATTGGATTAACTGCTCATTGAGAACAGACATGGCTGACCCAGTCCTCCCTGATCCATGAAACTGAAAAGATCAGAAATTGTTAAAAACACTTCATTGTGCCCTAATGCACCTGACACATGATGTTCTACCCATCAGATGAATAATCTGTTTTAAAAAGGATTACTCCTGGAAAATGTGTGTCCCCTTCAGCAGCGAGAGAGTTAACTCTTTAGGCCTTGTGAATTGTCAAACACATGTAGCTTTTCTTCTAATTATCCCCAAATGTTGATTCTCAGCTGTAAAACATGAAAGAAATTCTGTGACTCCTTCATGGGCAAGGATTTAAATGCTTCCTTCTTCAAGCCCACTTCTCATCAAAGACACAGCCCTTTAGCTGGTGCTGGTCTGGAGATGCGGTTGCCCATTAGATGTGCAATGGGGAATGCTGATGAGCACCCGTGGCTTGGGATTGTACAGTGCCTGCTCCTGCATGGGCCTTGTTTTCAGTGAGCAGAATTCACATTGCAGCAGGAGGCTTGCCTCTCTTCTCCCCCACTGGCTTTCTCTTATCTGTCCTTCTGGTCAAGGGGAAGCTTGCACTGAATTTCAGAGGACTGTGACCACTCATTTACTGCTTTGAAGCTTAAAGATGCTGGGCTGAGTCAAAATGTTATCGCAGTTACTGATTTATCAAGAGAAGAACACTGAAACAGGATTGCTGAAATCAGGGCAAACACTAACAAACAGCTTTATGCAAGTCACACCTATCCTTATTTATCAGCTTTCAGAGGCTCTTGAGAGTCTTATCTTTACCATTAGCCAAGCTGCTGGTGTTTTTTTAATCGTGTAGTCAGTGTTGCATGTGAGCTGCCCTGAGGTAAAAATGTAGTTATGACAAAGCATGTAGTATGACAAGGTTATCTAGCAGTAGCATGGATTATACACTGACTTTGCTTAGTTTTGCCTTACAGTGGGACTAAGTTTCCACAGTGTTTTTTCCTCTGGGTTCCTTGCGCATACTGATTATCTGTTAGTAAAAATAGTCTTCTAAATAGTGAAGACAAGGCCTAGCTGATGATGCTGAGCAGTTTTACACTAGATACTCGGATTCAAACATCACAACCTGCTGTTTGACCTGAGTGCTGAATACTGGAAGCTTCCACTCACGTCAGTGCAGCAGTTAGCCTGCAGAGGTGTTTTTCCTCCAGTACAAATGAATATACACAAATAAGCTATTGTATGTATATTTGTTTTGTTACTTGTTTTCTTTTTTAATTCAGACTATGTTTTGGGTTTAGGATGTAAACCTCAAGAAGTGACCTAGAGCAGTCTCCAACAAAACATTGACAAATATGGAGAATATTCCCACAGCAAATAATTCTTTAAATAAATATGTCCTTTTGCAGATGCAAGAAAAAGCTAAAGAAATTTATATGACTTTCCTGTCCAGTAAAGCTTCCTCCCAAGTCAATGTTGAAGGGCAGTCCCGTTTGAATGAGACCATTTTGGAGACACCTCACCCTCTCATGTTTCAGAAGCTCCAGGACCAGGTAAAGTTATTTTCTTCAAGAACAGAATTTCTTTAGGTTTTGTCTGCTTTTAATGGACTCTGCTTTCTAAGCACAAGCTAGTGTAGGAAGTTGGGAATGTGCCTACTGCTACCTGTGGCTTGGATTGAATAGGTAGGCATGGAGCTGGGTTACTTCTGTATTGGCAATACTAATGCAGCCACTCTGAGGGTGGATGCACTGTATCCCAGGTTCTTGGCCCCATCTAACTAGGGCCAATTAGTTAAGACAATCAGTGCAACCATGCTGATTCCAGTTCAGGACTTCCCTGGAAAATCGGATGAAGTTTTCTCCTGTGTTCCTCTGCTGGTAGCTTGAGAATCACCCAGCTGACTAGCTTTGTGCCTACGTTTTCCTGTGTATTCACTTGAGCTGAGTCATTGCTGATGTTTGTTTCCGTAGTTGCCACTGGTTTCCCTGAGAGCTCAAGATTCTTCACTTTGCTTTGTTTTGGTATTTATATTGATATGAATATAATGCAATTTCCTGAAAAGTCTCCTCTTCTGTAACACACAAAACTTAAAAGAGGAGCTGGTATCTGCTTTGCCTTTTCCTACAGAACTTGGGAGGTCTGGCAGAAAGTAGGTGATGTTTTGCAGGCATGTCTTTTGGTGGTAAATTTTCTTGCTATTTAGCTTATTTTAAAGCATAAGTTATGAAGTGAGTCATTCTTATCTGAGGCTTTCCAGCACTTGCAGTCTGGACTATTTCTAATTTCTGTACCATCCTCAGGACTACCTGTATTTTCCATTTGGCTCTTTCTTTTGTGGAGAAACAGCACACTGATTTAAATAGTGTTTTCAATGTATTTCACATCAGGTGTTGAATAAGTTAGTTGGGCACTGGCTGGGTCAATTGAAGCAGTCTGAGGAGCAAAGGCTCTGCTGTCTTTCAAACAGGTTCCAAGTCATTAGCAGTGGAAATGTCTGAAACTCAATTTCCATGTGAAGAAATAGTTATTCATGGACGAACTTCTGACTTGGGGGAAGGGAAGGAAAATATTCTGGTAAATCTAAGCACTGCAGTTTAGGCTGGGTGATTACGAGAGTGAAGCTGGAGAGACTACTGGAGTTAAAATGTTTTGCAGTTTCACAAATGAGCATGCACGTGAACAGCCAGGGATTAGTAATACCTGAATTGGAAACACACTAGACCAGTGGTAGAGGAATCCCACTAGTGTGGGAAGAAAGTCTGTGAACTTTTAAAACTAAATGCAGAGCATTTCTACGTTGTTGCAGGTTTCAACCACTTAAAGCTTCTGTTTATTGCTGTTAGATAATAGTTCAGGAAGAGTTATGGTCTTCTCTAGTTTTCAATCCTTATAAAGTTATGAAGAGTGGTATAATTTGTTCTCTAAAGAACAGTGTTAACTACTGCTGGCACTGTGTGTCTGAAGTATAAAAAGGCAGAGCTTGAAAGCCACAGTTTGGTCTACAACATTACTGGTAACTAGCACTTCAGTTCTCCAGAGACCTACTGATTTAAATGGGGCTACTTGTGGGGAGTGGTTTTGTGCTCATGGGATGGCCTTAAACAAATAGCTTGGAGGCAGTTGTTCATGCTGAATAAAATGGGGTTAGTGGTTCATAGAAATCTGTAGATGTCAAAATACTTATGGGGTAAGTGTTCCTGCTCCACAGAGGTGATGAGAGGAGGGGAGGGAAAAAGACAATTCTGCTTTTGCATGTGATTATAAAATCTGTCGTGTGCATTTGGCTGACCAGACTCCAGAAGGTTTTGATCTTACAGTGCTCTTTCTCTCTGGGAGATGCTTTAAATGATAACAGGAACAAGAGGGGTCTAAGTTCTTCATGGTGACTTAGGAAGTTTTAAGGGGCAATGTCTTCCTTACAGGTTTTTTTTCCCTTGAGCTAGTTGGATAAATTTAATTATATTGTAGTTAGCCAGCACCAGGAGGTATAATTTGACTTCGCTTAACTGCATTGATTTGGGTCTACACTGAGTGGGTGTTTTGGGATTTTTAGCCTTCCAATATGTAGCTTATAAAGCAAGATTTCTACTGTTTTAAACATGAACTTAAATATTTAAATATGTAAACAAACAGTCATTAGTAAATGCTTCATGTAATTTATTTGCAAGGGGGATATTTCAGCAAACACACATACCAGAACAGTCAAATTTTGTGTGTTTGCCTTCATCTGTCCAGGTTCCTTGAGGATGTGAAATGAAAAAGCAGTTTGAGGTTATTATTTTTTTTCTTCCTAACAAACAGTTGTATTACCCAGTTGTACTATGAGTTAGAAATGAGGCCCATAAAGATAAAGTTCCAGTTACCCACACATGGATTATCCACACATGCAGTTCAGAATCCAGAAATTCATCTTGGAAATTCAGTTACTCTGAGTACCATAAAATGTAATCAGTCATGAAGCATGACTCAGAGAGGCTCCGCCAGTGAAATAATAGGCAGAGAGTGATGTAGGCTTTGGTTTTGCCTCAATTATAGTTTTGAGTTTTACTTTTTTCCTTCCCCTCTGTTTCGAGACCAAGCAAAATATAGTCCTGACATTGACACCTGAACAGATTCCAGGCTCCTCTCCCAATCCCTTTTGTTTTGTTTTCAGAAAACTCCAAATGAGTTCTAGCTTTTTTGTCTGAAATGGGTATAAATAGAAGAGAAAACAGTTATATTGAGGGATGAGCCTAAACTCAAGCCCTGGGAGAGAAAAGCTATACTCAGTGATGACTTCATGCTTCCATGCTGGCTGTGTACTGGCTATGAGAAGAAGGGCAGGTCTTGGGCTACTGAAAAGCCTAATAGCACAAATTTAATCCATCACCAATTTTAAACCACATTTTAACTGGCAAATTACATCTATACCAGATCAGCTCTTTGTGACAGGTACCTGGAGCATTTCTGATCTGACCTGAGACCAGTCTTGGTATTCGGTTGTATAGTAGTCTAAAAAGGATGGGAAGATTGGTATAAGTTTAAGAAACATTGGTTAAACCAGTTGTTTCAGTCTAGGTTCAGTTTGAAGTTTTGGTACTTGTGTAAATTATTTAGAGGCTTTTCTTAGTTATCCAGTGCTCTGCATGTATAATGAGCTATTCTGTAATGTTCAAGAGTAACTGCAGTCAGAAAGGTGCCTAAAAGGTACCTCTTTTTCTTCAGCTCTGCTTCCTCCCTCTGAATATCTTCCAACTACCCTGCCAGAAGGACACCCTCGCTAGGTTTTACTCCTGGTGGCTTTGCAGGCCCAAGGCTGCTGTGGGAGGGGACCAGGTAATGTCCTGGCTTGTCCACACATGCAATTATGTGATCATCAGCTGACATTATTGCAAAATCGTGACCGTGGAACTTGCAATATTGTTTGCTATGTGCAGCCCCTTTTGAGAGTTTGAAGTGTGTTTTAATGTCATGCTTTTTAGTAATGCTTTAATACTAACAGAACAAAAATACATTAGAGTTCATATACCGTCCTCCTCATTTAAAATCTAGTTTTACTTAGGCGTTGCTTTTGTGTTTTTTCCCCCTCTTACCAGATATTCAATCTCATGAAATATGACAGCTACAGCCGCTTCTTAAAGTCAGAGATATTCCTAAACCATAAGAAGAGCGAGGAGCAAGAGGAGAATTCACCAGAGGCTCAGACTGCAGCTAAAAGAGCATCAAGAATTTACAACACATGATACAATGAATCTCTTAAGGAGAGGCAATACAATAACTAAATTACACTCAGGAACAGTCTAGGTTTATGGCAGTTGCATTTAGGGCTTGAAAAGCTCAAAACCTTTTTAGGAGATACTTACCTTCTTAATTGCTTGAACGACTAATTGTTTTTGCATGATAGCTAATAACCAAGCACCCATGGGAAGGCTGTTTCCTAGCTAAAAGGCTGAGATATTTCTCCATAGCATGAATTGCATTTCATATTTTACAAGTTAAAAGGCTTTCAATTTTTGTATTTTCTTTTGTGAGACACCATGATGATGAGAAATGGGAGATAGGTTGGTTGGTTTTTTTATTTTTGCCTTGTAATTTTTATTTGTGACCGGATTTTACATCCTGAATTGCTGGGAGAAGCTACTGAGGAGTACATTTCACGTTACTTTGTGGATGAGTCATTCATAGCAAACTTAATCATGAAGGGACAGCATCTTTCAGGGTTAAGCTCAATCGAATCCAATCCCTTCCTCTGTAACTTTGTTCTTTCAAGGTGCTATCTGTTTTGCTTTGCCTTTATTTTTTAATCAAAACACTTCTCTAATCATGATTTTAATTTCTGTATTTCTTAAATTTCCCCTGGTTTTTTTGCGGTAGACAATCACCTTCTTCAGAGGATGGAATAACCTGTATTCCCTTGAGAACAAAATCTCTTAAGATAGAGAGAATCTCTGAAGAACTTCTGAGAGCCTTTAGGAAACCTGACAGTTAATATCCCACTCTGGGCACACTGATTTCAGCAAAGCTTGACTCTCTCATGTCCTGCATGTCAGCATAACATCAGTGTCAGATGCCGGTATTGGGAAGCATCTAGTCTCTCCTAGGTCTCCTGAGCAATCTTGCTCTGTGCGGCAAGAATACTTTGGCAAAGGACCAACCAACAAAGTCTGGCTTTGTTTTACTAAAATCTTTCTACTAAAATCACCCTGCCTAATTTTGTTTGCCGCAGAGAAGTATTTCGGTGTTTCCTAATTGTAACTTTCAACAGCTGCAATGCAACAGGGGGTTGACGTTGTGATTTAGCCATTCTCACATCAGGCTTGAGAGGAAGGGGAATTGATTTCTGCCCAGAGCAATAAAAGATGAAATGTCAGGGTGGCAAAGGAAGACGCTCCCAATGAGCCTTCCATATTGTCCTGGGACTGTGTCAGAGCTGCAAAGCACATTTTGGCATACAATTTTTTATGTGTTTGTATATTTTTTTAATTAATTCACTGCAGTGTTACTAAATTGCAGTTTAAGTTGGGAAAGCCTATTAGCTACCTGCTCTATTTACAAGCTTTGCAGTGTGTAGTCTAGCTGTTTCACATTCTCTCATTATTTAATCCTTCATTTTTTGCACTGCTTTTCTTGAACTTTTGTTTATGTGCTGGCTAATCTAAATGCACAGTTAGCTTTAGATTGTTTTATAGTTCTTTTTTGTCAGAAAGGCCAGATATGTTTTATACATTACTGTCACTATCAATGTTTTCAAACAAAGTCTAGATTGTAATTTTTGAGGATGCAAACTCACTTGGTAGACTTGAGTATTTCTTGTAACTCTGAGCCACTCTTGCAGGTAATATGTAAAGACAATTGCTTCCATGGGCTCTTCCCTAGTTAGATGTAAGAGCAGGAACAGGAGTTCCGATTCTTCCCCTAGAGCTAAATGGCCTGTTCATTTTTAGAAAATCAAAGAAGAGGTCAATGCCTCCGTATGCATGTTTTAAGATGTAATTCTTATGCACTGAGTTCATTTTCCTTTTATGCTCTCAAAAGATTTAATGGTGAAGTCATAATCTTGCTTCAGGCACTTTTCAGTGGTATTTGACCTCATGCTTAAGTTGTATTTTAATGTTTTGCTGAATAGGAACAAAGTAAACACGTGCATGAATCCTTTTGTTGTGATGGGGCCTAGGCAATAGGACCATCCAGTTCTGGACCTGCCAACTATTTGTAACCTCAGGATTACCTCTTTTGAAAATTCACTGTAATAATGAACTCTTAATGCCTGCCACAGCAGAGGACAGAACTTCGATACCATTGAAGTCCTTGGGAATGGGCAGCTTAAACACATTTAGGAGTTGGGATTTGTCTCTTCCCAGTAAATGCAGCAGAAGTCTTAGTGATATCGAAAAATGCAGAGTGGGGACCTTCAGGGGAAAAATGCAGATGAGCTCTTACCACATTCATCACATGGATGCACAGTAGATTCATTTTTAATCATTTTGATTTTAAAAACACATGAGTAAGGGAGAAGAGTCTTTGACTATCATGTTTTAAAATAATAATAATAATAAATAAAACCAGAAGCTGTATGGACAATGGTAGGGCATTAAAGAGAGAAAATACTCGTTTGTAGCTGCTTATAAACAACATTTTCCTTGGCAATATGCTCCCTGTCAGGTACTGTCTTATTTGCTTGTTAAAGCAAATGCCCCATAGGAGTAGACACAAAGGTGCTTTACACTACTACCAAGCAAATGTTACTCAAATGGAAATTATTTTTTAGCAGCATCTCAATGCCTATGTTGTTTATTTCAATACCTGTGATGTTACTAAGATAATATACCTAAATCCACAAAACTCTTAATCATTGAATTGCTCTTTTTCCTCAGAAGTAAAAAGCTCATTGCCCTTTTGGCTGTCTTTTTTGTGGTGTCTGGTTTTGGCTTGTTTTTTAGAAGAAAACCAACAACTAGACTTGCAAGGTGCAGAAATGAAAGTTTTTTTTCCTATCCATTAGATTATCTGTATTTTCCAGTAAAAGAGCAATCAAAATAAAACCATGCAAGCTGATGTCTGTAATTGCAGCATGTATATATGTGGAGAAGGTTATTTTGCTTCTGTTGATATTATCACTGATCAAACTTGCTTTGTAAAATAGATTACATTTTCTCTATGTGGCATATAACAAATTGCACCGACAGAAAAGGAACTGAGTTTCCCTGTAAGTAAATCTTGCATTCCAGGAACAACTGTAAACATTGCATGGAACCTCAGGCTGTAAGTGGGTACTCAGAGTTGCTTTACGTAGAGATTAAAGATAGGATCTACTCCTTTTCATAGAACTTACACTGAAGGCATGAGCACAAAATGCAAGCAATAGAAGTTTCATGCCTGATTGCATGCCTTAAACTCTACCCTATTGTGTGTTTCTCAGCTAAAAATTAAAATAGTCTACAAGTACACCAAATCCATGTGCTGACAGTCGTTTTATGTTTTGAACAGTTTGGGCCAAGATCACTTCACATCCCACAGTTATCCCATTTTCTGCTTTCAGTCCCTGTTAACACAGTTGCTGTCATAGTATGTTTTTCTCTTGGAAGATCAGAAGATGGGATGACACCGTGGGTTTCACTTCTGAGTGAGATGTTGTCTGAACAAATTGCAGAAGGTCACTTGAACAGCAGAAGATGCTTCTTTTACATTCTTCATCTCCCTTTTCTTTGTTCCTGTTCGATTTCTTCCATTGTGCTTGCTTCAAGTTGCTAACCCATTGATGTGGAGAAGGAGGGTTTGAAAAACCGTAGGGAGGGAGAGAAAAAGGCTTGAATATTCAGGTTTGGATAACAGTTTGGAATGTGCTTATATTTTTACTGAAGATTCAGATTGATTTTTAAGTGGGTAGCATTTGCATCTGGGTTAAAAACTAATTAGGTCTATGATGCAGAGAGAGAGAGAGATCCCAAATCATTCTATGATTCTGTGACTGTGGTTCAAAGCCGAAAAGGGATATATTCCCCCTTTTATAAATTTTGTTTGTTTATAACTTTTTTCATCCTAAACCAGAGCAGCAAGTCTTACAAAGTCACCCAGCTTTGCCAAATGTCTGCCCCTGACACACGCAACGATTGTTGATGTGATAGTGTTCCTTTCCCTGTCCCAGAGGCAGTCCCTCTTGTTTTAAATCCAACACAGCTGATGTCCAAGGGCTTCAAGGGCTCTTTTGGCAGAGCCACAGTAAAAAGCAAGCTGCGGGGCATCCTTTATCCAAAGGATCTGTGTAACTTTACTGTATTGCCATACGAGCACCCAGCAGCAGCTGCATCACTTCTCATCACTCCAATTTAGGAGCTTTACTATAATTAAGTGAAAGATGCTTTTCGTCAGTGCTATTATATCTTGGCTCATCAGTGTGGCAAATCCATTTCAGTCAGGAGTTAAAAAGCACCCGATACTGAGGGCTTGGGGACGGAGGGGGAAGAAGTAGGGAAAGGCATTTTGCAGACTGCGGTGGTTCTGCGGATAAATGAAATGCTCGCCAAATTTAACAGCACCCTCTCCTGGTTCTGGGCAGAATAACATGTAGGGACGCTGATGGTAGAGTAAAGCTGCAAATAGAGGAAAGTCACAGCTGCTTGTTTCCTCAAACGTGATGGACTTGCTGGGCTTTCTGTAGGCGATAAATGCGGCTAAGTTAAGATATTGCACTAAAATACTGAAATGGCTCTGGTTTTCATTAACGGCAGTTGGTGTTGCTTTGATCAAAACTTAATCAAACCTCGAGGGGATCACTGTGTATAAGAAAACCGATGAAAATTGCTTTGAAAGCTGGCATTATAGAGCAGACAATGCTCTCGACCTCCCGAGCATACTTTGTGCTACCAAACAACTTTAGAAAAGGGCCAGCAGTTGTCCCTTCCCCCACTACTGTTCCTGCTTTGGGCTGTGCTCATTTGAATCGCTCAAAGACAGGACATTTCCTAAAGGAAACAGTGACCGGCATGCTGAGTATTGTAGCCCAGGCCCGGGGAACAGATGCTGTTACACGCTTTTATCTACCGTACTGTTCTATTGCTTTAGCTTTTCCAGAGGTAACGTGCCTAAAAAGTCAAACCTGTTGCCGGTCTGCATTCCCGTGTTACTCTTTGGCTTTGTAAAGCTTGTTTCACTTTACACCCAAATATGCAAACCAGGAAAAAAGGTTGGCTGAGAAAAGCAGTACTGCATGGGTAGGGACAGGGAAGGGGGAGCATTACCCACCGTTTTGTGTCTCGGGCAAACACTGAAATTGCCGTCATCAATGACATGTCCTGACACCGCGTGAGAAATGCACGGGGGCTTCTCATTTTCTTCGCAATATAAATTTCCAGCAGGGTCTGGCTCTTTTTTTTTTCCTTACTGGATGATGGTTGCAGCAACGCCTCAGTGCATGTTTTCCCGAAGGAATCCCAGGTTTGTCTGCGAGCTGTTCCACCCGGCCGGACCCCTCAGCCCAGGGGAAATCGTGGTGGTCAACGGGGCTTCAACAGAACAACGTGGCAGCGTGCAGTTCAGCTGGCAGGAGCAGACCTAAAGTTGTATCAGCATTAACAAATGTGGTTTCCGTTTTCTTCAGGCCTATCTCAGCTGCCTGTGGGATATGGCTGCTTTGATTAGATAGATTTCAAGTGTTTTTCCATGTCATTAAACAGTCGAGGTGAGAACTTGAAATATTTGAACGTTATGCTAACAATTGCAGCATTAAAGCTCTCCCAGTGTTACAAAAAATATACTAACTCGGAGGTAAGTTAAAACCTTTTGGTTTCTTTTTCAAGCTACAGTCCAAAAGAACAGCCTAACATACATTTTTTTCTCAGTTCCTGTTCTGTATTTACTGACTTCATAATTTTTCCATGGTTTGAATACTAGGTTTAGACATTCCTTTAC